ACTGGATGGAGTTGATAACCTTTTATAAAAAAAACATACCCCCCCCACAAACTGCACACAGGTTCGGATCACACAGAGAACAAATTCCACAGCATCAACAAGAACACAGAGTACATCACCGGAATTCATCAAACCGTAATGACGGAACAATAAGAGAAACAAGATATATTTTAGCATTCTGTTGCATTGAGGCATCATCCTTGTTATCAAAGTATCTCTCAATAATTTAACAATTCAAAAGACAGTAAGAATATGTTTCACGCTAAAAATGTATTTCAACACTTTTGATGATGTTAAAATCATTACATTTCAATAGGGCATTAAAAGCGCATTCTATACATTAAGAGTGATTATCCAATTTTCTAAAATGTCTTTAGTCATATATTTGTTCTAGTTTTGACATGTTTCAGCCACATGGGCCATTATCAGGTAATTTCCCATCTTTTGGGAAGACCACTTCACTGTATGCTTGTTCACCGTGCTTCCATGCACATCAGTATTTGAGAATGCCTTCATATTCTCTTGCGGCTGTCATAGTTTTGCGTGTTGCATGTATCACTAGTGCGGTCTACCTGTGCACCTGTATGTCTAGTGAAAATATTACAGAGGAATAGCTGTTACCAAGTAAGAATTGGCAAAGGCAGACAGAACACTTAGTGTGGAAATCAGCAGTAATATTGTACTTACTTGTGGTTATGAGTTCAGTGTATAAGTGCAATAAATTCAATCATCCAATCCAAACCCTGTCTAATAGTCACACAACCCAAAATACGTGATAATATTGTAACAGATTTCCTCAAAATGTTTTTAGGCAACGGCTTGGTAAAAACATTTCAAAATGCAACATTGGAAGTCGTTTCTCAGTGGACGAATGTTTTTGCTCGTTGCTAGGCAACAGTGCACCAATGAAGTTGCAGGCTAGCAGTCATGTGACTGTGTTTTCTGTGAGGAGCGTATATAACGAAGACCTGTTGTAGTTTAGATTAGTGTCTTCTCTTAGAGGATGTTACATGCGGACTATTACCGCATGAGTTCAGTTGGAAAAATCTCTGGTTGTGGGCCTCAAGGGGCCTGACGCCAAGACGAACTGATTGGAGGTAAGCCACCAGTTGTAAAGTAACATTCAATTTGACTTTGACTTTGATTAGTGAGGGGTCCAGAAGAGTTTTTAGTTGAGTTCCGAGGTTCCAGGATGATTGAATAAGAAGTGGCAAGAAGACTTCATAGTGATTTGAAGTGCTAGTTTTTGTGTTGAGATACGTTGCCAGGAGATGACTCATGAAGACAGACAATCATTGTGCGCATGCAATGGTGAACTGGAAAATATGTAACTCAGTGATGGCACTGTATTTAAGTGTGATTAACACATTGCGGACCGGTGGTTTAAACATTTAAATCACCCTGGGGACCGGCGTTTTTAAACCTACTACCCTAACTTGTGCACTGTTCACTTTAAAAATTAATATAAAATCTCCTAATTAATTTTATGAACTCAAATTTTTGGAGAACACTTACCAGAGCTCCTAGAAGTGCTTGCGCGTGTGATATCTCTGGAAACATTCCCCTTTGTGAAGAGGCATTACGCAGAAATTGCACATGTAGGCAGTTCTACTCTTCTTCTTGTGCTCTGCGCACACATGGCACTGCCTAGAAGGGTGTTTCTTCTTGCAATATTCACTCTTCATAATTTTCACGAGAATATGTTTCCGCATATCACCCGAGAGTCAGCCAGGGGGGTCTACTTGAGTCCTCCGGCGGGTGCGAACAGATGACCCCGGCTGCACTACGTCTGTGTCTGACGCAGGTACTGCCGCCACCGTGACGTCAGTAGCCCAAGCTTTTGCCAGTTTCAACAGAAATGCTTTGTATTTCAAAGTAGAATTTCTGTTCACCTTTTTGAAAACCGGAAATGAATTGAAAATTGCACAGTTTATAAGCCACAGTGCAACTTTCTTTGCCCATTTTACTGTTTTCCTACGAAGGTAGCGTACTTTGAAGCAATATGCTACAAGCCGGAAGGTCGCAGGTTCGATTCCCAATGAGGTCATTGGATTTTTCGGTTCATCTAATCCTGCAAGCCGCAGTGTGGCCCTGAACTCAACTCAGCATTTAACAGAAATGAGTACCACGAATCTTCGTGGGGCTAAGTGACAGATATGACACGCTCAAATAACTGGTTACTCGTAATAAATATATCATAGTTAAATTAATGATTGCATTTTTGGGATCAAATAACTTTCTTGATCATAATGCCAGTGTAAGAATTATGTTTTGTGTTATATGTCCAGATGTCGAACTGGGATATGTGGATACCTGATGTTCGGAAAGGCAGAGAGTGTGTGATTCCAGACGTGTCTTGGACATACTATTTTGGTGATTCAGGTCTACTTCAAGAAACATTCTTTCAAGTTTAGTTGACATTCCTCTATAATTTATGGAACATTCATAATTTTTGTCACTGTGTAAGAAAGCATTTTAGTTAATATGAAGCAAAAGATATAGACATTCTTGTGCAAAGGAATACCTTAGTTTATCTTAACCAGAACACTGTTAAGACTTTATAAATTTAGTCCAAATAACAGTTACATGAAATTCTGTTTGTCTGATTGTACAGTGAGACCCCGGTGTAAGATTGTCAGTGACCCAAAACTTTTCATGTAGCACATTGAAATCTAGGTGAATGACATGTTTACTGTAGTCAATTCTTATTAAATCTGAATTGTTTCTTAGCATCTCCCATGCAGTTCATTACTGTAACAGATAAAATTGTAACTTTCTTGTCTGTTTCTTATAACAAATCTAATACATAATACCCAAACGTATTAAGAAATGTACTCTGCATTTGTGCCAGTAGGTTGACTGGCTACAAATATTAAAGCAATGTGCAAGGGTGAATGAAGTTTTGGATAAAATTGGAATCCTCATACTCAGGTTTTAATCTGATCAGTATGCTTTATTAAGATATGAAGTGTGTTCACATATGTAATTCTATGTAATTTTGGCTGCTATATATTGTCACATTGACATGAAAAGTTACCACGAATGGGTACTTTTGTTTGTATGAACTAAACAGTTCAAATGAAAAACAGAGCCTCCATTAATAGTTAAAAAACGGCATTTATTGAAAAAATATCCCGAGCTAAAAACCCAAGGGTTTCATAATGAAATGCATGAGTGTCATACATATGTATGTATGTGGTGTGTTCAAAAAGTATCGAACCTTTGGTCGGCAGAAATACATTTATTGATTTGGAGGTACAAAACCCTAATCCCCTTCAAAGTAGTCCCCTTGGTAATGCACACACTTCTGCCAGCGCTTCCACCATTGTTGGAAACACTTCTGGAACATATCTTTTGGAATGGTGATCAGCCGGGCCGTCGCATTCCGCATGTCTTCTGTTGACCCAAATAGGGTTCCTTTCAGCGGCATTTTCAGCTTGGGAAATAGCTGAAAGTCACACGGAGCCATGTCAGGGGAGTAGGGAGCCTGATGAACCACAGGAATGTTGTGTTTGGCGACGAAAGTCTGAATGAGATGAGCAGAATGGGCAGGTGCATTATCATGATGGAGCTGCCAAGTTTTTGCTGCCCACAGGTCTGGTCGTTTGCATCACACACCATCACGAAGACGACGAAGGACCTCCTGATAGTATTCCTTTGTGATGGGTTGGCCTTGTGGTGCGTACTCATGATGCACAACCCCACGGGGGTCGAAGGAAACGGCCAACATGACCTTGACATTGCTGCGGACCTGCCGTGCTTTCTTTGCCCTTGGGGATGTCGGATGTTTCCACTGTGATGACTGCATCTTGGTTTCCAGGTCGTACCCATAAGCCCACGACTCATCGCCTGTGATCACGGTGTTCAGAAAGTTGGGGTTACTGTTTGCATTGTCCAGCATGTCCTGTGCATTTCCAGATGGCATTGCTTCTGCTCCATTGTTAGCAGTTTCGGTACGAATTTCGCAGAAACTCTCCTCATGCCCAAATCCTCAGTCAAAATTGAATGTACCGATCCACTGCTTACCCCTATCTCGTTCGCAAGTTCTCGGACTGTGATACAACGTTCCTCCATGACCAAAGTCAGCACTTGCTCAATGACATTCTCATTTCGGCTTGTTGAGGGTCTGCCTGAACGCGGTTCTCTGTCCACTGATGTGCGGCCATCTTTGAAGCAGTTGTACCACTCCTTTAACCATGAGTTGTTCATGGCATCATCCCCGAAAGCCTGTTGAATCTTGCGAATGGTTTCCACTTGGGTATCGCCAAGCTTTTGGCAAAATTTGATGCAGTATCGCTGCTCATGTTGCATAATTTTACACCTTACTGGAATCCGACGAGCGCTCACTACACGTCCTCACTCATGGGCTGACTGCCAGTAACTGATGCTTTCTGCGGGCGGGAAAAAATTCACAACTGCGCATGAATGTCCCCTCCACGTCTCCACCGAAGGTAGCCTCCCGCGCTTCATTGGTTTACGCGGGAAAAAAGAAGGTTCGATTTTTTTTTAACACAACGTATCTACAGTACTTAACCGATTAATGATGTTCTTTCAATTTTGGTACAGTCACATAATCCCAACATTCCTTGAAATGCAGTTGAAACTACCTCCTTAGCCAGAACATATATGTATATCTCTAGTTGCATAAATAAATACATGTAACAGGGATATTTTAAGTATAATTATCACATAGGACAATGTGACTTGGAGTTTGAAATGTATTGGTATGATATCATAACATTGTTGGTTATTTGTACCAGTCTTTATTTTCACCTTGTATAGTACTAGATTCTATGTAAAATATATTTTTGGGGTGCAGGAAACATAAGCTTACAGAAGAAATGTCCTGTTTGAACAGTAAGGTCTCCAGTATAGTGTTCCTATTGATAATCCTGCATACGAGGCGCGTTCAAGTTCTAAGGTCTCCGATTTTTTTTTCTCAGGACTGGGAGCAGATAGACACATGCGGTTTAGTTTAAAATACATGTGCACTCTTTGTGAATGCATGACAGAGATGCCAGCACTGTACGGCACACAGAACCCTAGTGGTGGTGGCGAGAGAGGAATGTTTCTGATACCTAAAATGGCGACGTTTTCGTTACAAGAACAGAGAGTAATCATTCGTTTTCTCCACTTTTGTGTTGTGACACCCATTGAAATTCGTCGCCAGTTGAGTGAGACATGTGGTGATGGTGTCATGAATGTGAAAAATGTGCGTTTGTGGGTGCGACAGTTCAAAGAAGGCCGAACATCGTGTGACAGCGAACCAAAGCAATCGGCCTTGCACCAGCCGGTCTGACAACATGGTCAAGTGAGTTGAGAAAATTGTTTTGGAGTATCACCATTTGAGTGTGGAAAACATCACCTCCAAAGTTGGCATTTTCGTGGGATCTGTGCACACAATCCTGCATGAAGACCTGCGAATGTGGAAAGTCGCCTCCAAGTGGGCGCCACGATTGCTGGCAAACTACCACAAGGCTGCACACATGGCAATTTTCCAGGCGATGTTGACACATGATGAAGGCATGAATGGGACTTTCTTGTCATCAGTTTAGACATGGATGCCGTTTTTCAATCCTGAAATGAAGCGCCAGTCAGCTCAATGGAAGCACACAGACTCACCGCCACCAAAAAAATTTTGGGTAAGTGGCAGTGCTGAAAAATGATGGTGGCCATGTTTTGGGACAGCGATGGCATAATCCTTACTCATTGCGTTCCAAAGGGCACTGCGGTGACAGGTGCATCCTACCAAGATGTTTTGAAGAACAAGCTCCTTCCAGCACTGCGAGAGAAACGGCCAGAAAAGGTTGCACGTGTGCTTTTTCACCAGGACAGTGCACCAGCGCATCGGGCATACGCGACGCAGCAGTTTCTTCATGAAAACAACCTTGAAGTGGTTTCTAATGTTCCCTACTCACCTGACTTGGGTCCTAGCGATTTTTGGCTTTTCCCAATGATGAAAGACACTCTCCATGGTCGCACATTCACCAGTCATGCCACTATTGCATCAGCGATTTTCCAGTGGTCAAAGCAGGCTCCTACAGAAGCGTTTGCAGCAGCCATGGAATCATGGCATCGACGTGAAAAATGTGTACGGCTGCAGGCAGATTACGCCGAAAAGTGACAGAAGTTTTAAATTTTTTGTACGATTATTGTGTGAGAAAAAAAATTGGAGACCCTAGAACTTGAACGCACCACGTAGGTTACACAATTTAATACCAAATTTCAAAAAAAGCAAAGATGTATTTGTGTCTGTAAATCATGTTGAGCATGATAATGATGCACAATCAAAGATATTCTACTTTAGAGAAGTTATATCAGTTCGCTGAAGAATTAAAATTCTGGTGAGAAAGTAAGGTAATGAATTTTCTCTAGATATTTGTATGATAAATATTTAATATATATTTAATGTATTTACAGCATAAACAAGAACGTTTATGAAGAGATAATTGTGGACATGATCAAGAGAGGTCTTGTTTTGGATCACAGTAAATCACCATGTGAGAACTTCATACCAGACAAAAAGGTGACTATATTTATTGCAATATTTACAATACAATTTTTACTGCATCAATTTTTTTATTTTTTTTCTAATATATTTAATCATTATTGTGTTTTATTTATTTTAAAAATTGTTCAACTACAATGGCCCATACTCTCTGATATTTTCACCAGTTATGAAATACATTTGCTCACGTGGTGATGTCTGTATTATGACACTGTTTTCTTGTAATGTTGCTGGTTACCGATGATTTGGAGGAAGATGGTTCATCTTGAATATTCAACCCTGAGGATGGAAGTAGCGTGTTTCGCCGAAACACTGGGACCAGCCTTCCAAATTACAATGTGGTGTAACACAGATATCACAGAATGAATCTTCATTGCCGTGAAAACCTCAGTCCATACAAATACATACGTCTGTTTCTCATTACAACATATTCATTGTTTTAAGGCCAATTGAATATTTAATAAGATGTGAGTTATATATGTGTCTGTATATTTTCTTCTTTGTTTCGGAGTGAAATCATAATAATGTTCATCAAAATGGAAGGACCAAAAGACTTTGTAACGTGGCTGCAAGTAGCACAGACATGCTGTGCTGTTGGTAGAGACTGCAAACCCTCCTCTCTCTGCCTTGTGCCTCCAAACACGTCCTCCTCTTCCTGCTTCCTTTCCCACCCTCTTCCTCCTTGTCACAACACCTCCACCTCATATTTCGTCCTCATTCACTTCCGACCTTCCCATTCTCCTGACTACTACCACTTCATGCTCTTCCTCATGCCACTTCTTCATACCTCTTCTTTCCCCTAGTTCCACCAGCCTCCTTCTCACCGTACCTCCTCTGATGAGTAATGGTCATAACGTTACTCTAGAGAGCAGCACCTCATAGTGCTTGCTTATCCTACCACTTTTAGTACCCCATTACATATGTACTATATCAAGTTATTGAAGTTAGGTATTTGCAACAACGCAGAACATGGTGAGCATGCGTAGAAGTTTCTTTCTTGAGTGAGATTTTGCTCCGTATTCAGTCATGATACAAATTCCTATGTTGATGTTTCATTGGGCTTCATAGAGTACTTGCATAACATTATTCTGCAAATTGTTTCAGTGCTTCAAGATCTGCGACCTTGATGTTCGAGGTTATCACAAGAGTACATGGAGGCTGCACATAAAGGGCAGTGAAATGCTTGTCGTTGGAGTGCCGTACTCAGAGTATTCGTAAGTAAGACTTCTAGAAACACAAATATGAATACTGTAGTGCTAATAAAAGTCTCAGTGAAATGATAAAGCCTTTCGAGGGGCCATCATCATCATATCCAAATGTAGATTGTTACATTGTCATCAGAATGAAACCAGTTTCTTTTTTCAACACACAGTTGGAACCTGAATCATGTTATTGGAGATCTCATTTTCTTCATAATGTTGCCTACTCACGATATGATGTATGATCAGAGATGATTTGGACACTGTTTACCATCTCTTTAAGTGAACTTTAGTGCCTCTGTTTTTTGGGCAGTTGATGACAGGTGGCAGGTTCTTCTGTCATTATTGGTATTTAACAAGCTACAGACCATCACACACCTAAAGACTGCAGTATTCACTGTCCCATGCGTCTCAGATTGCATAGTTTCATATAAGTTGGTTCCAAAATTATACTTTGTCTTTAGGTGTGCAGATACTTCAGGTTGGTCCAATTAAATTGTTGCACTTAAGATGGAGTTTGTCTCTATATGGTCCAGGATGGTTCCATCATGGACAGTGTTGTCAAACTTCAATACTTGTTATTAAAATCTACGCTTCTTTCATTCATTCTTCACAGATTACAATTTTGCTTCAATAGTACAGTTCTGTATTCATGAAAATTCTTGAAAGGATCATTTCAAAAGTATTTTTATTGAAGGTTTTACAGACTTTAAATGTAAAAACCCTTTTACATTATTTCATTTTTGATCTCTATGCCTGAGATAGAATTCTCAGCCTCTTTAAAAGACACAGTTTTCATGATCAGTGTTTTAAAGGTTTCTGCAATTAAAGGAACAAAGTTAGCATTATGTTAGTGACGAGAACTGCCTCGAATCAAGTTTCCCGCCCATTTATTTCAATTTGGAGCTGTGTGCCAGAGTGCTGCAGCTCTTTGCTTTTGGGACTACATCCATACCTATGTCTGACTCTGACATTTCATGTTCAGGGGTTGTAACATGAAGTTATGAACAAGCATGACAGTTATTTTTATCAGTTACATGTGATTTGTTAATACAGGGAATATTATTTATTTCAGAAAATTCAAACCATCGAATGTCACTCCTGTTTATTTGGAAGAGAAGACTAATGTCAGATAGCAGAAGGTAACAGCATTTAGAAGATTCTTGGATCCCACATTGCCGTGAAGATGAGCGATCTGTGACACAGAGACCTTAATTTGAAGATAGGACATTATTTTACGGCTTTACCATTTTGCCTGTGCCAGTTCGTTATGAGAAACTGTAAAGAACTGTTCTTCTTAAGATGCCAGAACTGTGTCGTATATTTCTGCTCTCCGTGATATGTGACAGTAAAAGGGGAGTGTACATTGTGAATGTGTACCAGAATGAAAATATTATTGTAGATCCATAGAAAGAAGTAGGTATACCATCTGAGTTGGAGTTACCAATTTACAAGTACAGTAAATTCCTGTTTGTCTGCTATCCAGGCATCCAGGATTTTCATTCAGCTGGCAAAAATTTCTAAGAGAATTATAAAGTCATTAAAATAATTATGAGTGTATTTTCACTCACTATACACTAGTCCTCCCAGCTTCCACTAGCAGCACTACCCATTATGCAGATACCATTTCAGCAGAGGCTAGTTGAACTTTTGATCTTGTGAATTCAAAATTCTTTCACCTGTCAATCTGCATTGTTATATAGGAATAGTCCTTGCAAGAACTAAAGCAAGAATGTGATATTTTCGATATAAATTAGGTTTCTGCAAGAACTTTTCTCATGAAAACTGCAGATTCATGTAACTGGCAGACCCAATTCTCTATACTTGTCAAGTAATTGTGGTTTACTGTAGTAATTAATAGGATAGCTTCATCTTCAGTATAAAGGAAAACATAGTCATGTGTTGGGTATGTTACGCGACAACTGCACGCCGTTCTGGATCTAGTGAATTTATTGCACGTTTGCTCTTACATTTACATAATTTACAGTTTCACAACTACTGCCATCGGCAGTATCACAATTACTTCTGTTGTGGCCACTGGCGTTCAATCGATACGACTCAACTCATAGTGGATACTAGACATATAAAGGCAAGCAATGCAATAGATTAGCGGCCTCCGTAGTCTAGAGGTAACGTTCCCACC